GGGTTCCCTGGATGCCCTGTGCCCAGCAGATGGCAATGCAAACCCGCCGAATGCGCCACCACAGCCTGTGCCAGCAGCGCTGCTCCTCATTAAACCGAATCTAATTATGCAAATTGCCCACCCAACATTAACTCATAGCAGAGGCACTATTTGCTGCCAGCACCCGACGTCTCTTTGCTACAGCAAACTCAGCAGCACTTTTCCAAGTTCTCAGACAATCCAGAGCTCAACCAGACACCCCAACACACCCCAGCTCTCTCCAGCAGCAGCAGCAGGGGAAAGCAGCAGAGCATTCTGTAAATCTGGAACCCCCAAATGCTCTCACAACCCTGCCAGACCCCTCAGCCCCAAAGGAGCAGCCYGAGGGAGCAGCCAGAACCTTCCACTGTCCCACACTGCTCCAGGCCATGTCCAACATGATCTTGGGCCCTTCCAGGGATCCAGGGGCAGCCACAGCTTCTCTGGGCACCCTGCATCCTCCAGGGAACAATTCCTTCCCCAAAATCCATCCCTCCCTGCCCTCCAGCAGTGGGAAGCCATTCCCTGTGTCCTGTCCCTCCAGGCCCTTTTCCCAAATCCCTCTGCAGATCTCTGGGAGCCCCTTTGGGCACTGGAAGGGGCTGTAAGGTGTCCCTGGAGCTTTCTCTTCTCAAGGCTTAACATTCCTATCACTCCCAGCCTTTTGTATATTATTATTACTATTATTATTACTATTATTATTACTATTATTATTACTATTATTATTACTATTATTACTATTGTTGTTACTGTTATTGTTATGACTCTTTTTATTCATTATTTATTAATATGCTGATAATTTCCCAGCTCGCCCTGCCCACACCACCCAACCCAAAGTCCCCCCAGAAGGAGAGTTCACCTTCCTGAGCAGTGCAATCATTTCCTTGGACCAGGCTGAGGAGTACTGCACGCTGACAGTGCTGAAGAGCTGCACCAGGGACTCCACGGGGTTGTTGGAGTGGATGTCATAGGGTCTCTGGGGACACAAACACAGAGGTGAGGGGTGTCCTGTCCCTGTGGGTGAGCCCAGCACACAGCCCAGGACAGCAGAGCCCTACCCAGCCCCGCAGCAGCTCGTAGGCCATGATTCCCAGTGACCACCAGTCCACCTCGAAGGAATAGCCCGTSCCGCCGCTCAGGAACGAGTGGAAAATCTCCGGGGCTGAGCAGAGCACAAAGGGACAACACCAAACAGGTTATTTGTGTTTTCTGTTCCAGGA